TAAATAAATAAATAAATAAATAAAGAAAGAAAGAAAGAAAGAAAGAAAGAAAGAAAGAAAAGGTTCTTTAGAACCTTTTAAGCATTACAACCCATCATCCACAAAGGATGGGTGGAATCTCAATATTGAAAAAGTGGTTGAGAACCAAAAGGTTAAGATTCTAGAAGATTTCCAAATACAGATCCATAAACCCATAATAAGTCAGACATGACCGTAGTTAGAAACAAACCAGTATCGATAATTGGCTTTGTAGAACGGGAGATTGAAGGGGGAGAAAGAAATAATAATAATAATAATAATAATAATAATAATAATAATAATAATAATAGAGAAATATGAAGTCTTTCAAATAGCGATTGAGCGAATGTGCGAATGAAAAGAAAATGGCACCAGTCGTGGTTGGTCGGCTTGGTGCCATCCCAAAAGTTCTGGACAAGGACTTGGACGCAATAGGAACGGACAGGATCTCAACTCACCCATTACAAAAAGTTGCCTTACTTGGAACAGCATATATACGATGACAATATCTTTAGCTATCCTAGATCCTTGAGAAGAATATGACAATCAGAAGTCCCAAATCCAGTGAGAACTATCTGGTAGACAGGGTATAAATATCAGTAATAATAGGAAAGTGAATTATATCAAATGACGGTCGCCTAGCTCAAAAGCAACTGGAAAAGTCTGTACCTATCAGGACTGGCAACTGAAATGCAGATATTATGGAATAAACCAGCAGACGTTTCCCCGTAGTTGTTGGAACATTAGGAACTATAACGGTAGAACTGTCAAAGCAGCTGAAAAGAATTAGAATTATTCGACCTCACAACATTCAGCTTACAGAAAACAGCTACTCCTAACTACAGATGTATTATGGAGATGTTTGGACAATTCTTAGGCTTTTGGTTAAAGCTTGAATTGATCCTTTAACTACTAGTATTTGCTGAGCAACCTTCAAAAGAGGACACATTGTCATAATCATCACAATTACTACTATTAAGCACATACTCTGGCTTTCTGCTTACATAATTAGCCCAGGCAAGCTTCCAAGACGCAAATGCAAAATATAATGCACAGTAATGAAATATTTGTGATCAAACTTGAGATTAGAATCAAGACGATTACGATCAGATGCCCTGTTAAATGCCTGGTGACATATGGATGTCTCTTTGCCATTTCCTAAATACTGGGTAGAAGGGCACCACGTAGCCATTCCTGGGGAGCTCATTCCATCCCTTGAAGACCACACAGGAGAAGGTCCTCTCCATGTATCAGATAGGCAATCTCTGGTAGATGGAGCATCTCCCAGAAGGTGTCTCCTGCTGCTGGAAGTAACCGGGCAGGTTCCAAGAGGAGACAGGTGGACCCTAATATGTTCAGGGCTCTAAAAGTCATAAACTATTGTTATTGGTTGAGTATTGAGGAAATCTGGAATCCTTGACCTTCCTATAAGCCAGAGTTAGAAGTTATTAAGTCATTCCCGTAGAGTTCATCTTTCCTCTTTGGTTCTTCTCTTCTCAGCTTTGTCTCTGGCATTGTTGATTTGTATTATAAGATGGATTGTTCCGTCCAGGAAGATTCAGAACTGCAGTCCTGGATATACGAGATTTTTCAGAAAGGCTTCCTGGCACGGACATCTTCTGGTAAGGACCAGTCCTTTAATAAGCCACAGATACTGAATGCAGCGTAGGCGAGCTTCAGATAGCATTATCAGTTGTGTCATTTTGGATTAAAAGTTCACCTGGAAGTTCAGTTGAAAGCCCATCGGTTAAATGGATTGGTAAATAAATAAATAGGCAGGGGAATCGGCTGATTCTGGGGTGAAGTGGGCTGTTCAAACAATGAACGGCCACCACAGAATTGTAAATGACACACAGTGTTGGGTCACATAGTCTATGATAATATATAAAAACATAATCAACTGGGCATTGGAAATCCCTAGGATTGTGTTTCTCAACCTTGGCAACTTTAAGATTTGTGGACTTCAACTCCCAGCATGCTGGCTGGGGAATTCTGGGAGTTGAAGTCCACAGAACTTCTTGTTGCCAAGGTTGAGAAATACTGAGGTAGACATTAAAATGGACATACTCATTTATCCCAACCATCACTACAATACATTGCCAATTATAGGGTACCAATTAAAAACAAGCAAACAGAAACAAAATTATTCCAAGAATGAGTCTTTTTGAAGTACCTAGGAATGACTGATCGATTCTCGTTCTCCTGGAAGAATTCTACAGAAGGTTTTGAATGCTATTGTTGAAATTCACAGCATCTTCCTTAGTAGAAAATTATTTTTGCGTCTTTATAGTTAACAGGGTAATACCTAACATCAAGAACTTGGGTTTTTTAAAATAATAATTTTATTAAACTTTCTAAAATGAACACTCTAATCACCCTTTTGCTGTATACAGATAATCCTCGGGTTAAGAATGCCCGGTTTAAGGATGATCCATAGTTAGGAACGGAACCTACTGTAGCAAAATTCAAGTTAAATACACAATGGTTTGAGTTAATTATGCAATATTACTTATACAGAATTATACAATAATACTGGTCTGGCTTACATACAAGTTCAACTTAAGGACAGACCTTGGGAACAGAACTCGTTCTTAAACTGGGGGCTACCTGTATTCTGAAAACTTTTTGCAAATCCTTAAGCTCATAGTTAAAACTTGTTTCTTAATGGATTGAAGAAAACTCTTCCAGTGAATCAATAAAACTTGCTGTTCTAAAGGTTCTCAATCTTTAAAAAGCAGTAAAAAAATAAAAATACAGTGGAACCTCAGTTTACGAACTTAATTCGTTCCGTGACTCTGGTCACACCCCGAATTGGTCGTAA